CAGAACCAGACTGTCACAGAACCAGACTGTCACAGAACCAGACTGTCGCAGAACCAGACTGTCACAGAACCAGACGGTCACAGAACCTGGCCTCCAGAGCATGATGCTACCACCACCATGCCTATCAGGTCATGTCCAGTGTTGTCATTGTTTTTTTTTCTTATCGGATCCCCGAGCGTTCCCTCTGAATAATCCCTCTTGGTTCAGGTGGGTTAGAGTTTGGACCTGGAACTTCTATCCTGGATGCTATCACCGAATCGGGCTTTGGACTTGTTGCTGACAGTCTGGATACTCCTTTTGCTCTTTGATCCATTTCTCTTAACAAACATTTCAACCCTTGATCCAGATTTTCCTCACAGTAGAAGAGAGGTTGGTACCACCTCTAGACCGGGTCAACATCTAGAACTTGTTCTTTGCTCAGTGCAGTTTGTGAATGTAACTCTGGATTTTAAAACCAGACACTGAAATGGTTCAAAATCTGAACCAGATTTACCTGAACAGTCAAAAGCCAAAAAAGTTGAGAGAAAAATCAGCTTGTTCAAAATCTGTACCGTACTTGGAACTGACTGCACTGACTGCACTGACTGTGCAGTTCAGTCAGTGCAGTCAGTGCTGCACTGACTGCACTGACTGTGCAACATTGACTGCACTGACTGCACAGAATTTGTGGTACACTTGTGTGCAGCGTTGTTTCAAACATAATTTGAAACTATTTTTTATCATCTGTTGCTATGAAACTTGGTGTAATTGCCAGTCTTTGGGCTTATGTGGATGTCTGTTAGCAAAATATCTCATGAACCAGTAGACTCCTTTAAATAAACCTCTTAAAGTAACCCCTGGAGGAACCCCTACAACTGAATAACTTTGAACTTGGTCCAAGATGGCCGCCACAGCTAGCTAACTGTAGAACACAACGATGGCTGCAGCTGTCCGTTGTACACAGAATTGGGGGTGGTAGTAGCTGAGAGTCATCACCAGCACATACTCTAAGAGGTAAAGCTGTGGCGGGCGATATGCATTAAGGAATCTAAACCATTTATTATTTTAAAATGAACCGTTGGGTCTAAAATAAAGATGATGAGGACAATCTCTAGTTTTTAACACTTGAAGGTCTGAAAATAAAAAAAAATACTAAAAGTTTTATTTAAAACAAAACCTCGTTTAATTCAACATATTTACAAAGTCCTGTTAGTTTTATTGAGGACGTCACATTCTGTTGGAATAATTTCTAATAAATGCATAATTTTATGGTAATGATCAGCTTTTTGTTCTGCTGGGGAGCAAACCCTGGAGTGGAGCTGAAAAACAGTCAGATCACCCAAAGAGCCGCCAGTCCCAACCGACCTCCATCTTTCTTCTTTACGTTGACCTTTATCCAGACTTCTTCACTTCCTGTTCTGAAAACACGCCACTGATATTTAACCCCAGGGAACCTTTTGTTTACCAACTTGTTTAGGCCTTTTTCTTTGTGCTGTTGTTGTGCTGCACTTCGCTGAAGCCTGTTTGAAAAGCGTCACCGCGTTTCCTCAGGTGAAACCCTGACGGCGTCACCGGAGCAGCCGCCGCTTCCATGTTTGTTCTGCTGTGGGCGTCGGCGTGATGAGGGGAATTCACGGTCAGCTGACGGCGCGCCTCGTGCTCGCTCAGAGCCGTTAGGTAATCCGTCGAGCCGCAGGAAGTGATGATAGTTGTTCTTCGTCTGCAGTGACGTGACCTCAGAGTGGAAACACGTTCAGGGTTTTTTTGTCGGGAACTCCTGCGATAATTAAAACGCCTCGAGCACAGAAACGTCTGCAGCAGGAGGGAGATCATGTTTCTGCCTGGAACAGCTGATGGAGTAACCACTGGATGTGCATCAACATCTGGAGTCAGTCCACTTCAAGATGGCTGCCACAGCTGTCCGTTTGTCTGCTCTGGCAGATTTCATAACCAGATTTTAATTTTTCCTCTCGAGAAGATTTTAGTTCGAGTCTGACATGAAGGACGGCGGGCGACAAGCATCCCTGTCAGGAGTGGCTCGTCTTTGATTAAACACGTTGCAGCTGCGTTTAAACGTTTAAATTATTATCTGGCGTACTAAAAGTTGTATTTGTTCTGTAACATTAACGGTTCTTCTTCCTGACGGTCAAAGGTTTTATTTTCTAACTACCGGAGACAAATTACAGACTCGGTGTTTGGAGAACGAACAGATCATTTTAAGTTGAAGAGATTTCTCTTCTCGAGCTGTGAATTCTTCACGAATTTAAAAACTTTTGTTTTTACAGTTAAAGACGAGAAGATTCGTGACGTGATGACGTATTGATATTTATATTTTGAATCATTTGTTTTCTTTTGCATCATAAATTACTCAAAATCATCACGACTAGTTGTGTCCCAGCTGACGGATCAGCTTGTTTTTGTTTTCTTGTAAATAACTCTTGTTCGTCTTTGATTTATACATATTTATACCTCCATGTGTAAACACTTGGTTCAGTAACTATTTTAGAGACATCAACAAAATAATTCAGGTTCTCTGGACGGATTAAAAATTGTTGAACTTCTTGATCGAGCATCAGAATATTTTAGAGACGCCTCGTTCAGCTCGTCCTGTTTTAAACTCACGGCTAAGATATTAATGTGACACAGTTTATCACAAACAATGACTTTAGGCGTGAACTTGACTTTTATTTAGTTTATTTTTTAGTTTGATTTGTAACAACGTGCCGTTGTGCTAAACAATGGTGACACCGAACTACGTGATTAAATATAAACTGAACATTTTAACAGCAGCAGCAGTGAATTTAGGGCTTTTTACCGTTTTCTGATTTAGTGACAGACTCGCAGCGTAAAAGACGTGACATCATGCAGCGTGCACATTAAATTACACTGTGCACGTGACACAACAAAACAAGTCAGTTTCATCAACCTGCATGTAAATATTAAAACTAAACACTTCACTGTCGGTGCGACAGTTTCCACATTTGTTCTGCTCTCCTTCACAAGCCTCTTGGACTAACATCCGTCTTCTTCTCCCGATGTTTTCCTGTTTCCACGGATTCATTTCACTTCACAGAAAACTGGTACTCGGCTTCTTTCTCCTTCAAGGTGTGAAACAGACGCACTAGCTAAGATGCTACGCACTCCGTTTCTCTCCCCCCCGCAGGTCAACAACTGATGTCACTAATGAAGCAGGAAGCTAGCGCTCAACGTGGACGTGTCCCCCCCCTTCCCCCCACCCTGTCAACAAAACCCCCCGAAGAGATGAGCACCTGCTGAGCCAGGTGACCGAGGAGGAGCTAAAGGGAGATGACGCCATCCACCACAGTCAGTGTGAACCCCACCCCCACCCCCACCCTCCAACAAAAACTCTTCGGATCTTCACGATTCACGTAAATGACATATTTTTGTTTAAAATCAGCAAATTTCACCAAAAAGCACAAAACGAAGAGGAGATAAACTTCTGATGTCGTTTCTGCGCTCGCCTCGTTAAACAATTAAAAATCATTTTTCTACAAAATAAGACAATGGAGACCAACGTCTGCAACATGATTCGAACATTAAACACAGGAAATGAGGTCATCTCCTCCCCCAGAAGTCCTCCCGTCTTTTCTGGGCGCGCACCAAGACGGCGGACGCCGCAGAGCAGGAGGCCGCCGAGCGCCATGACATCACCGAGAGCCGATCGTCTGGGTGACAAACGACAGATTTAACGTGGAGCTTTGGATCCAAACCATGTTCAGACGTTCATGAGGAGGAGGAAGATCACCTTCGTCAGAAGCGCTGCCTCCTCTGGAGCACGGCGCCGCCCAGAACCTCTGACCCAGGTCACCTGGCGAGAAACGAGCAGACCGTTTACGACACGTCACACACGGTCCAGACGGGTTTATTATGAAGCCTGATGTTGACAGAGGAGCAGGGAGAGACGGGAGGAGGCAACAGAAGGGAAAGTCCACTCGGGCCGCGTCTCTTCACGGAAGAAACAAAACTCGAGCTGCAGCTCTGAAATCTGAAGTTCTTTAGAGAATGCCTGGAAAAGATTCATCCTCAGGTGTGCAGGAAGAGCTCTTTTCATTGTTCAAAATTAAAAAACGACATGAAAAACAAATATTATGAAAATATTTACATTTACATGGTTTTGTTGTTCACAGACCATTTTCAGACGAGGTAACATTTCACTAAACGTTCTGCTGTCAAACTTTAAAATCAGCGGCGTGTGATGATCCATGCTGGTGGTACTTGTGTAAAGACAGGAAATATGTTTCTGGTGATTTGGGGCCAACGCGGCGCGTTAAATTAGTTTTATTGTTTTTAAGTAAACAAACTGCAGAAGTTTGGAAACGGCTTCAGTCACATGTAATGAAAAGCTAATTTAGCTACGCGCTAAGCTAATCTCGGTTGATGTAAAGCAGGAAGTATAAGGACTCCGAGATTAATCTCACCATTGTGCTGGAAGTCCGGGTGTCTCATGGTGCCCTGGATGCCATGTTGTGGGGGGGAGGTGACAGGGGGCGGAGCCACAGCTGCCGGGGACGCTTGCTTTGTACTGACTGGTTTAGGCGTTGGGCTGGAGGTTGGTTTGCGCTCAGAGGCGGGGCTGGGAATACTCTCTGGCCACGCCTCTTTGTGTTTGGACAGCATGTTGGTGACAGGCTCCGCCCCTGTTGTCATGGAAACACCCCACCCACAGTTCTGGACAGAGAGACGGTGAGCAATTTAATACGATCTAAAAGGTGTTTGATGATCATGTTATTATTATTATTATTGTTATTATTATTATTATTATTATTATTATTATTATTGTTATTATTATTATTATAATTATAGTTTTCACCTGCTGCTTGTTTGGAGAGGAACAGTCGGCGCTCTGCAGTCTGCCCACGAGTATGGCGCCCCCTGGAGGACAAACGATCACACAGCAGCATCAATTTAATTTTGCATAAATTAATAAAATTATAACTAAAAATTATTAGAATTTGGATTTTCTTTTTGCTTTCAATGAATTTGAGGAAGTTTGAAAACCCAGGAAACTTAAAGCTGAAACAGACTTGTGAAAGCTAAAGGTAGCAGAACAGAAGCTGAAAGTCGCTGAACAGTAGCTAAAACATAAATGTTGAAAAGGCTAGCTAAAGACGAAAAGCAAAAGAGGAATAGCTAAAAACTAAAAAGTAGCCCAACACTAGCTAAAGTTGCTACATGTCCAGCTGTAGTCCAAGTACAATTAGTCCAACAGCAGCTAAAAACTAAAAAATAGCAAAAGGCTAAATAGAAGCTAAAAGTATCGAGAAGAGTAAGAAGACAAACAGCCAGTAGTCTTCAGCTGATGGCTGCAGCAGTTTTCACAGAACTCTTATTTCTGAGACACTTCAAAGGTAAATATTTATATTTTTACAAGAAGAGACAAACTGAAGCCAGACGTGCTGAAAAAAACAAACAAACAAACAAACAAAAAATAATTTTCACAAGTCAAGGATGTCTCCAAATCACTTACTTTGTAAATACAGTCTGAACTCTGCAAGCTGAATATCTGCTGAAATTAAGCTGAAGATAGCAGGGTGCTAGCTAAAAGCTACAATAAAACGTACGTAGCTCAAATTGAAAAGCAGCAAAAAACAGACTAGTAGCTAAACTTTGGATAAAACTAGCAGAAGGGTAGCTGAAGGTTGAAGGTACCCGGAGGTTCACTATAAGCTCAAAATTGCCGTTAGTAGCTAAAAGCAGCAGGACATTAGCTAAAAGAAGACAGTAGCTGAAGCAGATTTCAGAGAACGATGTTTCTGAAGGAAGTGAAGAAACGAAAACGTATTTTTGAAAATATTAAAATTCAAAGTTAAGTATCTTTAAAAGTATAAAAGTCAGAGCGCCCATCTCCTGAATGAACCGAAGGTTTTGATGTATGAACCGCTAAAATAAACGCCAAAAAGAAAACGGGCCGAATCTTTTCTTTAACTTTATTCTATAAAGCTAATATTGTTACTATCTAAGCTCTTATTTTGAAAAACATCTACACCCTCTATGAACCTTCAGATTAAACCTCTTCCTGTCTCGGCTGCTTCAAGCATTTGTTTGTATTTACCGGTAATTGTACTGAGGATCGACAAAATGTCCAAACGATGCAACACAAGCCCACAGCATGATGGCTCCACCACCGTGCTCACCGTCAGCTGCAGAGGTCTGGAAGCTGTTTGTTTACAAATGTTTTGATCATCTCAACGTTTGTGAAGCATCCACTCTATTCTGAGACAGTTTTCTTCTGTGCGTATTTCGGCGTGATTCTCGTCCCGCAGTTTTCAGCTGTTTCAACAAACCATAAATCAAAACGTTCGGCTCTTTCAGGACAACCCTGCTGGGACTTTTGGTATTGGTGCAACTTTAGCTTTTTGAAATATTTAGCCTTATCTGCCATTTTTTCCTCATAGAATCTGAATTGAGCTCATTTTACCTCCTTCACATCTGTTTACAACATTTTACTGCTCCTGTCACATTTTGTTCTGCTTCAGCTTCTTTCAGCTTTTTTTGTTGTTGCTGTTTTCAGCTTCAGCTTTGTGCTTCTTTCAGCTTTATTTAGCTAATTACAACATTTTTGTACTTCTAACTTCTTTCTGCTAATTTCAGCTTCTTATGCTATTTCAGCTACTATTTAGCTGTTGATGCTAATTGTAGCTAATCCTAAATGTTTAAAACTTGTTTCAACTTTTTTCAGCCTAGTTAAGCAAAAATGTGCTGTCTCCACTTCCTTCTGGTAATTTCAGCTTCTTTCTGCCTTTTTAGCTACTTTTCAGCAGTTTTTTTTAATTGTTGTTGTTGCTAATTTCAGCTTTTTTCAAATTACAATTTGGGTAAACGGGTTCTTTCTGCTTTCTTCTGCTAATTTAAGCTTGTTCTTCATGTTCAGCTATCTTTTTAGCAAATTTTTAGTTCTTTAGCTTAAAACCGCTAATTTTAGCAGTTTTCAGATAAATTCTTTTAATTTCTGCTACTTTCAGCCTAATTGGGTAAACGTGTTCTTTCTGCTTGCTTCTGCTAATTTAAGCTTGTTCTACATGTTCACATTTCAGCATGTTTTAGCTAATTTCAGCTGTTTTTACAGGAAATGTAGTTTCTGTAGTTTGTTTTGTGTTTAGAGCAGAGTCTCGTCCATCTTCTTTAAGTTTGTTTTTTACCGTCAAAAGTGTAATTTGTTTTTCTAGCAACCATTGAGAGGTTTTCTCGGAAAGTTTTTTAGGTCTTTTAGACCTCAACGTAACCTCGAATCTTCCTGGAACCTTCTTGTCCTAATTCAAGTGAAAAGTGAGGAAGCTCTTCAGCAGGGCTGAGTTTTTATAAAGCTCTCGTGGAGTTTCCTCACAAACAGTTTTGTCTCAAACGTCAGATGAAACAAACGTCTGCGTGTCACGGTGGAGGTGGTCGTTGGTTCCGTGCACGGCGGCGTGCTCACCTGTGGCTGGTGTGGTGAGGTCGTGGTGAGTCCTCTGAACCGGCCTCGTTTTCAGCCTCGGCGTCGGTAACCTTCCCTCGTCTCTGCTCACAGAAAACAGAAAACTGTTGCCCAGAACCCGTCGTCCAAAGACTTCCGACACACTTTCTGTCAGAACCAGACGGGTTCGGACCTGAAGCCCCGTCGTCGTAAAGTTTTAAATCTGAACGTTCACCTGCACGGAGACGAGAGTGACCGAAGGACCAGAACAAAAAGTTTAAAACAAAACCAATGAAATATTGAGACCGGACAGTGAGCGAGCTGTGATGCGTTCGAAGCGCCTGGGAAAAACCAAACTTTAGATGTAAACACGTTTATATTCAATAGAGTTAATTCTCGTATCACAGACGGGAAAAGTTTATACTTTATATTGAAAAGATTTGATCTGTAACAACGTGCCTGAAAGCTGTTAACACTTAATCTGAAATTAAAAATGGAAAGATGACGTTTTTAAACTTTAAACTGTTTTTGTTTGGTTCCAAACTAAGAGTATGTTTTAGGTCACTGGACGAACAATAAAAATATAAAATTAATTAACGAAAGAAACAAAAAAATCAAATGCAAACAAAACCTTAAGTTAAATTTTTATATGTTTAAACTTCTTTTCAGACAACTAAAGTACAGAAGTCCCTCGTTTATCGCAGGGGATCCGTACCCTGAAGACCACCATAAGTGAAAAACTGCCAAGTAGGAATAGTAGTACAAGTAGTAAGTAGTAGTTTATTATATATATATATATATATATATATATATATATATATATATATATATGGCGTTTTAAATCCTTTCCATAGTCTTGTAATATTCTAAAGTTTCTAAAGCTCTAAGAGACAGAATGTCGTGATTTCTCAGCCACCTGCAAGCTCTCTTGGCCACGCCCACTTCTTTGCTCTGCACAGAGAACAGCTGATCAGCTGCAGCAGGAAGTTTATCCTGTAGTATGGGCTGCACCAAGGTGCAGCAGGTGCTAAATAATTTAATTTATTTTAAATAATTCCACGTCGATCATGCGGCTCATCCATCCGTCAGCCAGTTGTGTGTCATGTCCACTCTTATTTTGAAAAACCACGATGGAGCGAGTCCACGATAAACGAACCGTGATGTAGCGAGGGACCACTGTATAGGTTTTTGTTTGTTTGACCAACTTAAATCTTTGAATAAATCAAATGACCAGAACTTGGAGAGGCTTCTGAAGGAGGATTATGTTTCAGGAGACGTCTCTGAACAGATTATAATCACAAATCAACGTTTACGAGACAAAAAGCTTCAGTGAAAACAGAAAACCAGTCATGGATGACCTTTGACCCCTTCAGGCTCCGTTTGCCTGTTAGCAAAATATCTCACCATCCACTGGACAGATTTGAATGACAACTGATTGACTTTTGGAGTCAGTCCAAGTCAAGATGGCCGCCACAGCTAATAGCTGAGCTAACAGAACGCTCGAGGTCTTTGTTTATAGCTTTTTATATTTTAGCTTTTACGGAGTTTGTTTCGGCCATCTTGTAACCATGTTTGTTACAGAACATTCTCGTGGGGTACCAGTCGTTCACTACATTACCCATCATGCATTGCAGGCGGAGTTACTGGAGTATGATTATCAATAAGACTACAAATAAAACCAGCTGCAGCTGTGAAGTCTCTTTAGATGTGCAGAAATAAAACATGTTTTAAACCAGCAGCCCTCAGACTCTGTGCTGGGAATCACTCCCAGCTACTACCACACCAGCTTCTAGCTCAACGACTTCTAGCCATTAGATGTGGCGGCCATCTTGTTGTAGACGTACGTCCAATGACTTCTTTGAGTTTTTCATTTCAATTCAGTTTATTTATGAAGCGCCAAATCACAACGAAGTTGTCTCAGGACACTTTACAGGAACACTCACATAAGAGTCAATTAGTAAAGTTCTCCAAGGAGTTTAATTAAACTCCAAGTGGTTTACGAGATATTTTGCTAACAGAGAAACATGATCGCCCATTTTTCACTTGTGCTCTAAAACCTCAACAAGCGTTAAAAACGTTAAAAATTACGCCGTCGTTCAAAAAATAAAAGTCGAGCCACATTTAAATTTTTTATCACAATAAAATGCTGTTGGCCTAAATAAATATTTTTACTAGCGTTAGATAAATAAAAGGTATTTAATCATGTTATACACAAAAGGTTGTGATTTATCTCCACGGTTAATAAAAGACATGACGTGACGTAAATGATCTGTTTTATGAAACGGATGAAAGCGTTCATCTAAACAGAAACCTACTCGTCTGGCAGAGTTTCTTCTTCTTCTTCTTCTTCTTCTTCTTCTTCTTCTTCTTCTTCTTCTCCCCAGGCTGTTGGCCGCTCAGCTGAACCCGGATCAGTTCTCCTGTGAGCGTGGAGTGAACCTCCAGGACCACCGGCCGATGAGGACGTCCTGCTGGAGTTACTGGAGTGGACAGACAGAAAGCAGCTCAGGTGAGTTTTCACACCAGGTGTTTGTTTCCTCCTCCCTCTCACCTGGACAGGTCCAGGGCCTCCACGCAGGAAGTGCTGCGGCCGTCTGGTTCTGGCGTCAGGTCGGGGGTCCGGCGGTGCGTGGAGGTGTCCGTGGTGTCGTCGGGCTCCCACAGAGCGTTGTGTTCAGACAGCAGCTGGTTCAGGTGCTCCCTGCAGAAGTTGGTTCCCCAGGCCCGACGGCGGTACCACCGGGCCTGCTGCCTCAGGTCCGACACCTGGACCAGAATAAACACAGCACTCTGAGGGGGTTCTGACCCGTCTGAGAGGGTTCTGACCCGTCTCAGAGTCAGTTTCTTTTTTGTCATTCGTACCCCATGTGGTGGAGTGAGATTATGTCCACTGGGTCCCAGTTCCATCCAACAATAAAATAAAATAAAAACAGTGATAAGATCTAAACGAAGAAAAACATCAACTAATATACACAAAGCACTAACAGCATCAAAACATGACGTTGAACAGCAGCAACATGACACAGATCAGCAGCAACATGAAACAGATCACCAGCAACATGACACAGATCAGCAGCAACATAACACAGATCAGCAGCAACATGACACAGATCAGCAGCAACATGACACAGATCAGCAGCA